TGTCTTGATTTTGGCTTCATCGCTTCTGTGCTCTCTAGTCGTAGCAAGACTTTAGCAGGTTCAGCGTTTGCAGAGATAGCAGTTACCCCTTGCACAATTACGCTTTCCACACTGGATCTATAGTCCCCCGTATGTGTTAACTTCATGTTCTGTGCTGCGTACAGGTTCCATTGACCGTCTTCTGACAGCACAGGCAAAATAAATGTTGAAGTTGGTGTGACAAATATGTTATATGTCAATCTGAATGACATTCTATTTGAAGCGGAGTACATTTCACCAGCATGTTCTTCTTCTATACCTCTTTGTACAATGAACAGTACAAATAGGTATAGGAAGCTTATTCGCCTTTCCGTCACTTGTTAATCTGTCTGATCTAAACGATAATGTTTGGAAGACTATGTTGCGCTCTCCGACCTATGGGCGTTGATGGCTTCGCGATGCACGCGGGGCTCGGACATCGGGTGCTGGACGAAGAGGAATTCGAGAACAATTATTACGGTGAACAGAAGCTCATGGAAGGCGCGCTCATTAAGCTGGGGGACTACGCGCACTATCGGTACTTCCAGCTCTTTCGCAGTGGACGCTTCTGCTACTACGAATTGCCCACACCGGCGGTGACAGCCGAGGGAGTTCGAAGAGTTCACCTTACATCGAAACATCAACGTGGCATCATGATGCTCCACGCACCGACTCAGGTTAAAGACTTAACCAAGAATGAAGAAGAATACGAGGCCTATCTGTTTAAACGCGGGCTCGTGTTTAACCGCAAGAAGCTCGAGATGCAACTCACGGGATATTCGCCATCCGGTCAACTATTGTCCTGGAAAGTTCGAGCCAGCAGGGATACCGTGTATCTGAAGTGGGAGCGTGCCTTTCGCCTTGCACTTCGACCGATTTGGGTGCCAAACTCCAACCATTGCATGGTCTGTAAGAAGGACTTTACCTTCTTCACCCGCCCACATCACTGCCGGTACGTTATGCGGACGTTCATTACCACTATTCGTTCGACACTGACAGACTGATATGTACATTGTAGTAAGTGCGGGACGTGTATGTGCGATGAATGTACAGTGTTCGCCCCGCGGTTACCATTGCAAGGCTACTACGATGAAGTGCGTACCTGTAGAGACTGTTCCCCCATCAGCATTCCGTGCTCGTCGCTAAAACAGGGTACTCGAGTCCTTGTATACGGCATTTTGATCGGCCGTGTGGTGCAAGTGAACGTTTCTGAAGGTACTGAAGGTAGGACGCTTGTAAATGTGGAGCTGGAGAAACAGAACAACGAGGTGCGGAGCTTTGTACTGCAGCATGTTCAGCTATACTCAGACGCGGTGTTATCGGCGAACCGGATCAAGAACGCAATTCGACAGCATCTAGCGTACTCAGTGTTCCGAACTCGTCTCAATTTTAACACTTGGAACATGTTGGAAGCGATGCAGGAGCAGCGGACAATGCAAATGATGCGGTTCGTAAAGAAGTCGATGAGTATTAGCGAACTACACTCCATGGTGCCATTACTCATCTCGCTAAATACTCTTGACGGGGTCGTTCTGGAAAGAGAGCGTGTTAAAGCTTCGCTCACTCATTACCGCGGAGTTCGTGTCCTGTTCCCTTTGCGACTCATCACAGTGAAAAGGTTAATTAACCAGTTCCGCAATGGTATTTTATTACATCCTGTCTTCGTTCGGCGCATCCTGGACGAGGCGGGAAAGCTATTCCGAACACACCACGAGTCACCTATGAACTCGGTTGATATCCCTCCTGGAGTAAGAATGATTGTCGTCGGAGACCTTCACGGGCAATTAGAGGATTTGTTAACAATTATGGAGAAGAACGGCATACCAAGCAACAAAACGTGGTATCTTTTCAACGGAGACTTTGTGGATCGTGGAGCGCACGGGGTAGAGATTATGTTGTTGCTACTTGCGTTCAAGCTGTTGTATGCTGAATTCGTTTTTCTGAACCGTGGAAACCACGAAGAGCGTATGATTAACGAAGTGTTTGGGTTCCAAGCCGAGGTTTATTCCAAGTACGGTAGTGGTTGGAGTGGTCTGGGGTCATCAGTCAACTACTCGGCATCGAAACTCTTCCAAATGTTCGAGACGGTCTTCGATTTGTTTCCAGTGTTTGCGCTAGTAAATAAGTGTATCTTCGTTGTTCACGGTGGTTTGAGTAACCACAAGAATGTCACGATTGAGGAGCTACTCCAGCTAGACCACCGAGGTGAGCCGACGCAGGGAACGAGTCGTGCGGATGAGCTGCTGATGCATCTTTTGTGGAGTGATCCATGCGAAGAAGACGGATGGAAGCCTTCGAGTCGAGGTGCTGGCGTGGAGTTTGGTCCTGATATCACCAAAGCGTTTTGCAAAAGGAACGGGGTTAGTCTCATTATCCGATCTCACGAGTGTCGAGAAGAAGGGTTCGACATCGTTCATGACGGCCTTCTGTTGACCGTGTTTTCGGCCTCGAACTACTGTGGCTCTCAAACCAACAAGGGAGCCTATGTTCTTCTGGAACGTGGAGAAAGAAACGAGATACAGCCGCGCGTGGTGCAGTTTTCATCGCAACCGCTGCAACAACTGAAAGCTGCGGGGAGGAACGAATGGCGAGAAAAAGCTCGGCGTTTGGAGCGGCAAACGGTGGAATCTCTCCAGCAGATTATCTGCGAGAATCAGTATGCACTTTTGGTCTCGTTCCAGCAGGCGGATGATACACGCTGTGGGCGCATTTCGAAGATTTCTTGGAAGTCAATCATGCAAAGAGTTCTGGGGATCCATACAAAATTGCTCTCGTACTTCCGTCAACTAGGTGCAGAATCTGAAAAGGGTGGCGTCGATTATCTCACATTTCTCTCGAAAGCGCAGTATGCTGTCGAGTCTTTTGCAGTGGAGGCCAACGGTGTATGAAGTGATCCTCAAAAGTATTGTATTGCTGCCCCAGAGATTCCATGAAGGCCTTGCTTTTGATAACGTTTTTCAGATCACGCTTGGACGTGGATCATTAAAGCCATAATCTCTCCTCTGGCACCACATTGACATCGACAAACGGTATCATGTTCTGTGCTGCACATGCCCCTCGTTAAGTTGACACTAATTTGAATGGATAATTTTTGGTGTTTCGTAAAATATACAATAGTTTTTATCAACAACAAAAACAGTTTTCCACACGAAACACACAACATTGCGAACCAGCTAGACAACTGTTTTCAACGCATGCGAGACCAACAGCACCGCCACCATGGCCCACAAGTTCCGTGCCAGACGTATACAGGGGTACAACGATGCTTCTTGCGAAAGTGTCCCTATGGTACCATCAGGTGGACCGTAATGGCAGAGAGGGCTGCCA